GGGGGGGGGGGGAGTTACTTATGCATCAGATGGTGCAAAGTATTTCAGTGTTGTGACATCGTCTAGTTTTGTCACTTTCTTTTCTCTTAAGCTGCTTTTAGAAAACCTAGATAAGAAGAAATATCCTCATCTCTTGCTATCCCACTCCCTGCTTCTCTTCTCAGATATGCCTATGAATCATGAGATCAGGAAAAAGAGGTGCAGGGCCCGGAGTTGCAAACCTACGCTTGAGCTTTCTTCCCCTCAGCCAAAGAAACTAACTGAAGAGTGCTCTGTCAGGAGAGAGATTCAATCTTCGCAGAATATTCTGTGGGGAAGTGCTTCTGAAAAGCATGATCCTAAGTCCAGATTTCTCTGTCAGACTGAAAGTTCAAATCGGTCAATTGATGGATCTCTTGCTCGTCGCACAATGGGGGTGAACTGGAAATCCGGAAACTCTCCCCAGCCTTTTTCATCTAATGTTTTCTCTATAGGGGATGATTTCCTGGATAACAAATTCAATTCTCCAGCTAGCTCCAGTCATAAATCAGACTGCCCGTTAGTTCAGGATGGGAGGATGAGTGCCTAACAATTGTTGCTGAGAGATCAACAGAGGAAGCCTCGTTTATGGAGTCTCTTGAGCTTGATGATAGTTCAAATGTGATGCATGACAGAAGGAAACCATTTATGCAGAGTTGTTCTTTGCGTAGAAGCCTGATACATGATGGAGCATCTTTTGATAGTGATGAAGATATTAAACTTAAAAGAAGTGATTACAGAATTAAACGAGATCTCCTTGAAGGTGATTACAGTGTTGAATTTGAAGTAGTTGATGATATTAACCAGGTCCCAAATCAAAGGTTTCCTAGGGGCAAGGAGCTATATTTTGAAAATTTCTCCAGGTGCAAAACTCAAAGCAAGGACATTCTAGATGAAGACAATTATCTTCTTGACTTTGTTAAACAGACTGAAAATTATGGTTCTAGTCAGCTGCCTTTTAGTTCAGATCCATGTCCGCTGCTACCAGATCCTTCGCTTGGGACCAGGTTTCAAGATGTTGATCCTTATATTGCTGAAAAGGGGATTGAAACTTCTGTTAAAGATGAACTTGGTGTCACGTATAATTTTGGAAAACATAATCTCCTGGTTCCTACCATAAACAATTTGGGAAAAGAGGACTGCTTGTTCCCAAGTTTTGCAAAGTTTGGTCTCAATTTTAATGCTTATTCTAGGGAGGATATGGGCAGAATAGGGGGTCATGATCCACAGGACATTTATAGTTCAGGTCCTTCTGAACTCTATTATGATGGAGATGATTTGTCACATATACATTCTCATGGTGAAGAAAATCTTAATAATTATTTGATACCACGAGCTATGCTCTCCTCTAGGGTGGATGAGGACTCGCATAAATGGATTGATACAGGAAATCAAGGTAAAACAGATAAGCTACTAAGGAAGAGGAGAAGAAGTCATTCAGCTCCTCCGTTTTACCAAGGCAAGAAGAAGTTCTTTTCCATGAGTGAGTCTTTAAGAAAAGCAGCAGGAAATAACAACCTTAAGACTGTTCATGATGCGCCACTCATGCCAGGTAATTTGTCCTGGAGTGCTTGTTTGTGCTAAAAATCAATGATGATGTGTATAACTAATTAATGCTCTTTTGTACCATGCAGAAACTAGTGCTGCAAGGAGACTGCAACATTCAGCAGAAGCTGTTAACTGGGAGCTTCCACAGCAGTCATCCTATCAATGTGATCAATCTTCCACCCCAAGTTGTGGTGACGGTATATTCTCTAATGTCAGGTACTGTTATCAATTAGTAAATTTTTTTTTTTTTTTGAGGGGGTGGGGTGGGGGAGTCAGGTCTCTCTTGTTATATTATCTTATCAAATATGTTTGTAACTCACACAGCATGATGTTTTTCTCTTCAGGCCAAATGTGAAAATGAAACTTGTTAACACCTGGAATAGCAAATTACAAACTCAAGGGGAGGAGTGCACTAGTACACACAATCTGGAGTCAAAAGAAGGTAAATCAGTATTTGTTCCTGACCTGAATAAGAGCTGAATGATTCCTAGTGCAAGTTTCAGTTTGTTAGCTTCTCTCACCCACTTTTCAAGATTATCTCAGAGGCCGTTCTTATTAATCATAAAGACATTAGAGGTTACAATGTCTCTTTTGTGGTCTCCTAGGCCACAGTCTCTTTAAATTCCATCTTGCTTATTTTTTGATCTTGTGATAGAATTATCATGCCTTACATTTCTATTCAATAATTCAGAATTTGCATCAACAAAAACTCAAAATTTCTTAGATTCTGGGGCGAAATGGAGGGACTACCGTCCAGAGACTGCAGTTGAGTACCTTAGCAAACTCCCTGACGTTTTTGTGAATTCTATGTTTTGTTGAGATGATGAACTTTTTGCTTTGTCAATATGAGGTACAGCGTGGGAGTGGAGCAGAGGATCTTAAGAATCAGGATACCATACTCAATGTCACTTCTGGCATCTTGCATTTTGTTGGCAATTCATTGGTTCCTGATACCATTGATAAAAACTACCTGGAGGGTGCCAAAGTTCTCCAACAGGTTGATAAGAAGTATATTCCGATTGTGGCGGGCACAACTCTTGCTATAATTGATCAGGTCTATTCTAATCTTTGCATAGTGCATTGTGGCCTTTCTTGTTTTCTCGTGAATTTCCTTTTTGCATTTACTCTAAAGATTGTTTCCCTTAGAGGTCGCACAAAATTTGGCATAAAAATTACAATGTTGTTTGCCTTGTAAGAAAAAAATAATATCAGCATAACTAATGCAACGTTTGGTTGGTGGTATTAAACTTTACATTATTAATGCCCTCATAAGTTATGTGATAATCTATATACCCCCTCCGTTTCAATTTGTGTGAACCTATTTACTTTTTAGTCTGTGCCAAAAAGAATGTCCCCTTTCCTTATTTGGAAACAATTTACCTTTATACAATGATTTATAGCCACATAAAATATATGTGCCTCATTTTACACCACAAATTCAAAAGTCTTCTCTCTTTTCTTAAACTCTGTGTCCAGTCAAATGGGTTCACATAAATTGAAACGGAGGAAGTATTATTTTATGCGGGCTAGAATGTGAAATAAGATAACATGTATAAGCAATGGATGGATAAGAGTATTTTAAGAACAAAGATGCCTTTAAAGTAGGTAATCCCTGCATGACATCCCTGGGTTATTATTTACCACATAACAATCCCCACATCATTATTTATTGCATAACAGTCTCTACATTATTATTCCGCATAAACATTCCCTGGATGGATAATACGTCAACCAACGACCTATTAATGTATTACTTTCTAGTTCATCACGTCCTTTAGCTTCAGTCGCTTTGTGACCGTCTGGCAGAATATAGCTTATTCTGATGTAGAAACTTAGGCCCATCTCAAAATGAATGTGCGGCCCTTTTTACAAAGTCATGAATTATGACCTTTTGTTTGCTTCTAGCATTTATCGTCATTGAGCTTACGCTGGCATTGTCATGTTTTACAGCATGCTGCAGATGAGCGAATTCGTTTGGAAGAACTGCGTGAGAAGGTATAGAACGTCCAAAAACTCATTAACGTGTCATTTCAACTTGGAGCCTGTAACTTAGCTAATTATCAGGTTCTATCTGGACAAATGAGGACAACTACATATCTTGATTCCGAACAAGAATTGGTACGTTTACGATCATCTAATGTGAAATAGGGTTTATCTTTGCCTTGTGCTGCTTGGCTTGTGGAGAAATTCTTGGCACACTCAGAAAATGTTGAGTCTTTGGCCATGCTTTGGCAGGTTATGCCCGAAATTGGTTACCAGTTACTACACAACTATGCTGAACAAATTCAAAACTGGGGTTGGATTTGCAACGTTCATTCTCAAGCTTCAAGATCATTTACCAGGTAAGCTATGGCCTATGCATCTTTGTTTAGCTGTTCATCACACGACCACTGTCTATGAACTTGATAAAATTGCCACAACTTCTATTGCACTAATTTTTGCAATGTTTTTCAAGTTGAACCTAACTCTGAGCACGAGGCTTTATGTTTTGCTTAAAGCAGGAACTTAAATCTGATCCACAAGAAGCCAAAAGCAGTCACACTTCTTGCGGTAACATTCTGTAATACTTGGCTCTGTTATATTATACTTTCAAAAAGTTAAGTATATGTGACCCATTTGGGATTCTGTCTTAGAAGGGAAAGTTAAATATATAGTATTGATTGTAGTTGTTGTATTGCAAGATTAGGAAGTCACATCAACAATTTGGGATTGAGATTAGGAATCTTTGGTAATAAAGTTTCAATACAATATAAATACACAAGGGGAGGGAGTGCAAGGCCATGCTTGGAATTTTTAGTCCTTCTTTTGCCACCATCCATTGCTTGCAATAGTATGTGGATTAGTACCTCCAAATTCTTGTCTGCAACAGCAGTGTCACAAACATATGTAACTGAAAATGAAGCCAACACTGAACCAATAATGTACTTTGTTGCCATTGTTTCAACTCCAACAATACGATGACATGCTGAAGAGCAGTGAGGGTGCTGCCAAGTCATTTTCGTTTCCAAGTGTATTTAGTTGATATGTTAGAATCTTTTTTTTAAAAAGCTACAACAACAACATACCCCGTATTATCCCACACCGTGGGGTATGGGGAGGGTAGTGTGTACGCAGACCTTACCCCTACCTTGTGAGGATAGAGAGGCTGTTTCCAATAGACCCTCGGCTCAGGCAAATATAAGCACCACATTAATGAAAATATAGATAAGAAGGGACAGTACCAAAAAGCCATATAAAAGCAGAATAAAAACAAAAAGATAGTAAGGTGATCAACAATGAAGGAAACAACGGTTAGTCATAAAAACCTACTACCAACAGAAAGCGAGACTGCGTGCCAATACTAATGTTATGAAAACTGTAGACTACCTACTCTACTATNTATTTGGAGGGTATATATGCCTTCGAAACTATACAAGGAGTTTTCAGTGAGCTACCGATGGCTTTATTTGGAACCTAAACTAGACAAGTTTCACCTCTCCCCACCTCTTCTTTGGCCTACCTCTACCTCTTCGTAGGCCTTCCAATGTCAACCTCTCACACCTCCTCGCCGGGGCGTCTGTGCTCCTCCTCCTCACATGACCAAACCACCTAAGCCACGCTTCCCGCATCTTGTCCTCAATAGGGGCCACACCCACCTTGTCGCGAATATCCTCATTTCTGATCCTATCTAACCTGGTGTGCCCGCACATCCATCTCAACATCCTCATCTCTGTTACCTTCATCTTCTGGACATGAGCGATCTTGACTGGCCAACACTCAGCCCCATACAACATCGTTGGTCTGAACACCACTCTGTAGAACTTACCCTTAAGTTTCGGTGGCACCTTCTTGTCACACAAAACACCGGAAGCGAGTCTCCATTTCACCCATCCCGTCCCAATACGATGTGTGACATATTCATCAATCTCCTCATCCCCTTGAATAATAGACCCAAGGTACTTAAAACTTCCTCTCCTAGGGATGACCTGCGAGTCCAGCCTCACCTCCCCTTCCCCTCCTTGAGTCTCGCCACTGAACTTACACTCCAAGTATTATGTCTTGGTCCTGCTCAACTTGAAACCTTTAGATTCCAGAGTCTGCCTTCATACCTCTAATTGCGCGTTGACACCATCTCGCGTCTTATCAATCAATACAATATCATCTGCAAATAGCATGCACCACGGCACCTCCCCTTGGATGTGGCGCGTCAGTACGTCCATCGTCAGAGCAAACAAAAAACGGCTGAGTGCCGACCCTTGATGCAACCCCATCATAACCGGGAAATGGTCCGAGTCCCAACCCACCGTTCTCACTTGGGTATTTACTCCATCATACATGTCCTTAATCAACCTAACGTAGGCAACAGGTACACCTCTAG